AAAAAAAAAAAAAAAAAAATGCTTCCAGCTTCTTTCAACATGGCATGTATGACACACCTCACCTAACCCACAATTATAAAGATAACACCTTTACCTGTATTTGCATACCGCATAGAGCAGGTGCTTTTCATTATTTTCTTACCTACATATTTATCTCAACTAATCACGGCACTGCTCAGATATAAATGTTTCTTCAGGTGCCCACACACCTTGCGATAATCGTACGATAATCGCGGGAAATGTAAGGCGTGCAACCGTCTCTACTGTACGATCGCACGACTTTTATCTTAGGAACATGTTCGAAAACCCGCCGAGAATCGTACGATTGTCGGCGGGTGTGTGGCATGTTAGTAAGATAAATGCCGCGCGGGCCGGTGTGCGCAAGCGCACACTGCCCGTTCAGCATTGCGGTCATCGGAATCGGATTATCGCAAGTACGATCTGCCTGTCCAAGATGGGCAGATCGTACGTTTTTTGCGATGGTTGTAAGGTCTGTGGCGTGCCTAAAGCCATAAAAGGTGTTTTTTTTGTTTGTCTTGCATAGAGTAGGGAATGGTTAAAGTGGACCTTTCACTAAAAAAAAAAAAAATCACATCAGCATACAGCTTTTCATGCGGATATGAAATCATCTTCCATTCATTATTTTTCTGTTGCTTACAATTACTGTTTTTCCACTTCCTGGTCCTAACAGATGCATCCGGGAAAGGTTACATCAATAGAGCATTGCTGGGAAAGCTCATCTGTAATCTCACGAGATCCCAGGAAAAGGCATTTTCCTCCCGAGATATGCATGGTCACATGTCCTAGTCACATGTGCCAGAGTTCCAGAAGTAAAAAAGCAGATACAGTAATCTGCCCGTAGTAAAAAATGGCCACTGTGAGAAGAAAGGGGAGGGAAAGAAGTATAAGGGATGCAAGGAATGAAAAGTCTGCAATTATCTAGAAGTATCCTTTTTTTAGATTATTACACATTTCTAAAGGGGTCTTTGTTATCACTTTTTTTTTTTTTTGGCGTGTGTCTGAGCCCATTTTGGGGTGATTTCACTGCCTGTCCCAAAGACACAACAGCCCTTTGTGCCTAAAGTGTTAAAACTCGGCTTCCGTTTGGAAATGTATAAATAAGATGAACTTCTGGCAGCCATTCATCGCACAACTTGTTATACAAGCAGCAGCCGCCAGTAGCTATTTACATTGGCTTATAAATCCTTGTATGTTCTATATACTTAATTAACTTTCATCTACATGTACATGTACATTACATTAAGACGAATGTTATGCCATCTATAAAAAGACTGTCGATGGCTCTTAACGCAGAAACCTAATTTACACTCAAAACAGCATTCAAACTGCACAGGAAAGAACCTGATTTTTTTGGAGAAAGAGTGCTCACATTAACTCTTAAAAAGGAGAACTATGAGGTGAGTGCTTTTCACTCACCTCATAGTTCTAGCCGACCTGTGACAATGAGACTGTCACAGGTCGGCTCAGTAGATCGGGAGGTGAGCGAACATATACCGTGTTTGCTCACCTCTCGGCTCTCTGCCGTGACAGGGGAGGGGCTGGATCCCCCCTCCCCGCTCCGATCTGCCAGCGCTGACTGGCGGAACGGACGGGGGAGGGGGAGGGTACAGCTGGCTCTGCCTCTAGATAGGCAGAGCCAGCTGTCACTCACGCAGCTGGGAGAATCTCGACATCGATGTCGGGATCCGCTCCGGCTGCGGCGTCTCAGTATACCGCGAGGACTTCTAAATGATAAAAAAGGTTGGCCTTTCTTGAACATGTTCCTGCGGAGCTGTACACCGCCCAGATCAAAGTATTTCTGGGGTGGTTACAGCCCTGTGTTGACATTCAGCAGCGGACAGGAAACCTGTATAAATCAATGATCAATGACAGGCTGTCACTGCCCGCATGTAATCGCTCAAGAAGCAATTACCTGTGACTAGGTGCAAATGAGCAGCTTTGGACCCATCAGTCTGCTTTCAGAGTCGCTCATCTGTCCCTAACTGTAGGTAATTGCTCCTTGAGCGATTACATGTGGACAGGCTTAAGGTGGCCATACACTTTACAACCATCGCAAGACTAATGGTTGTAAAATAATTTTTAAAAAACGTACGATCTGCCCATCTTCGACAGGCAGATCGTACTCTCGATCATCGCAAGCCCGCCCCCCTGAACGGGCAGTGTGCGCGTGCGCACACCGGCCCGTTCAGCATTTGTCTCCCGAGCACCGTTCAAACCAGCCGAAAATCGTACGATTTTCGGCTGGTTTTCTAGCGTGCTCCTTAGACAAAAGACGTGCGACCGTACAGTAGAAATGGTCGCACGTCTTCATTCACACTGCTCGATTCTCGTACGATCGCGGGATTTCCCACGATTCTCGTACGAGAATCGAGCAGTGTTTGGGCACCTTTAGACAATGACAGGCTTCCTATCCCCAGGACCCCAGAAATACTCTAATCTGGGTGGCGCATGGCCTTGATTGCCAATGTGAACCCTGAAACTACTGCTATAAAAATTGTGACATATCAGAAATTCATAAATGTAAAATAATGCACTTTGGGGTTAAAAATAGGCAAAAGGAATACATATTAATGGGTACTCCTATAGGGAAGTCAGAAATGGAAAAAGATCTGGGGGTAATAGTAGACCACAGATTGAATAATAGCTTGCAATGCCAGGCTGTGGCAAACAAAGCTAGCAGAGTTCTGGCTTGTATTAAAAAGGGGTTCTACTGTAGAGACAAATCTATAATTGAACCACTTTATAGATCGCTGGCTCGGCCTCATCTGGAGTATGCGGGCCAGTTTTGGTCACCAATACACAAAGGATGTCCTTGAGCTGGAAAGAGTCCAGCGGAGGGCAACCAAACTAATTAAGGGGATGGAGGACCAAAGCTATGAGACAAGGTTACTAAATGTAAATATGTTCACGCTGGAAGTGAGGAGGAGATTAAGGGGGGATATGATTTTAATGTACAAGATGTTCAATGGTGATAGCAACATCAGCAATAAACTTTTTACGGTAAACTTCATAACAAAGACTAGAGGCCACCACCTAAAATTGGTGGAGAAAAGATTCCAGCACAAGGGGCGAAGGGGCTTCTTCTCAGTTAGAGCGGTTAGGGTCTGGAACTCACTGCTGCAAGCAGTGGTTTCAGCTGAGAGTATTGAATCTTTCAAAAAGCATTTGGACGATTTCCTCAGAGACCGTAACATACAGAGGTACAGGTACTCTTAAGAACAAGATCACACAGGGACTCATACACACGCATACACATGCATACAAGCAATGGGTTGAACTTGATGAACCTGTGTCTTTATTCAACCTCAAATACTATGTAACATTCATGCAGATAGGTTTGCATATACTGCTCAATACGCAGTTTACAACAAGGCCCACATATATACTTATGAATACTAGTAAAAACATGTTCTTTATGAAATTTGAGGAGGGCATAAGCAAGCAGTTGTATGTATAACTTATGTGAACTTTAACACCTGGCCTACAGTGTACTTGCAATGTGATTGGATAGAAGCAGTATATCACGGTTATACAAGCAATACAAATGACCTTAGAAAGCTTATCTGATAAGGTAATACCAAGACTGATTCTGATGTACAAAGAGCAGCAGCACTATTCTCCTAAAAATCGGAGCCGATTACTTATTATGGGCAACACATACTTATACACTTTCCAGCATTTATTAAGCCAACGTCAAGTGTAAGTGTACTTTAACCCCTTCATGACTGAGGCCTTTTTTTCATTTTTTGTACCAATGTTATATTAAAAACCTGCCATATAATGGTGGAAGTGGTAAATGATGGACCATACCAATGCAATGCAGGAAAGGGGGGTTTCAGTGGCGTCACAAGGGGGGTGCGGCCCGCACCCGGGTGACACCATTGGAGGGGTGACACCAAAATGACTAATTTTGGTGTCACCCCCCTCTGAAAAGTCGGGCGCTCGGTCATGGACCGAACGCCCGACAGTATCAGGAGAGAGGGGGCATACCTTATCCCGCCGGGTGACTGTACCCTCCTCCATCTTGTTGATGGACGCTGGCAGGTATCGGAATACTGCCACGCTGCTCGATGACGTCATGCGCATGGTGACGTCACGCGCATGCGCAGTGACGTCTCGGCGGGGTGACATTCTGTTACCGCTCCGGGTGTCACCCAGCCTCGGGACGCCCCTAGGGGGTGTTAAGGTTTCTGACTTCCAACAATAAAATGTCAAACCTTCATTTTGTGACCATTTATGTCCTAGCTACCTTTTGGCTATGCAGCATCTTTCACAAATTTGGTACTTTTGTTGTCCAAGCATCCACAATGGGGGCAAAGCTATTATACTGGATATTATTATACAGGATTTATATAGCGCCAACAGTTATAAAAGAAATCTAAAAGCTTTTCACTGCCTGCACACCCTGGCTCTCTCCAAACACAACAATGAAGAGCTCCGAATGACCCAACCACCAAAAGACAACAATGTATTCTTGAGAATTCTGTTATAGCTTTGGTTAGAGCAGATATGTGCTTAAGGCCTTGTTCACACCAAATGCAGAGCAGATCCGCTCAGGTTTCTGCACACGCAGTGCAGTGGGTTGCGCCGCTTTTTTTTTGGTAAAAAAATATGTATATTTTTTTTTTGTTTAACATGGGCTTTCAGTGCGTTCCAGGCATTTGCATGCGTTTTTGATGCGTTTGCATGCGTTCCAAAACAGGTCAAATAGGTCTTGCTGCAGTTTTTTCACCTGCTCTGGAACTGCACGCCGCAATGTAAACTGGAGCAAAAAATACCATTGGAATACATTGGACGCAGTTTTGATCCGGTCTGCAACTGCTCGGCGCCTGGTGTGAACAAGGCCTAAGGCTGAGTTCACACCTGGGCGTATAGAATATGCGCGTTTTCCCCGCGATTTGCGGTAAAAGAAACGCGCAACAAACGTGCGTTTACGAGGGCTATCTTGCTGTATCCTAATGGATACGTGCGGAAAACATGCCCCAAAGAAGCTCCTGCACTTCTTTGGGCGTAGGTTCCTACGCACTGAAATACGCCCAGGTGGGAACCATGCCCGTAGAATGTGAAAAACAATAATTGCCTGAGCGTTTTACAGCGCGTCTCTACGCGCTGTAAAACAGATAGTCCATGGTCCCATCGCACTCCTGACCGCGTGAATCCCTTCAAGAATTGGGTGCTGCGGTAGTCAACGGGTGGAAGCCGTAACAGACAACCAATTGCAGCACTAATGTGTATGTGGTAGGGATGCACTGATACAGATACCAGGATCGGTACAGATACTAGGCATTTTTACAAGTAATCTGACTCGTGAAAATGCCCTGATGCAAAGTGCTGAAACCAGTGCTTTACATTTTTTTAAAGGACTACTGTGCATTTATTTTTTTAGCTGCATGCACTATTTATGCAGTTCGCACTGGACCGGAACACAGGCACTAATGTGCCATGCGTTTAGGTGTCGGCGATTGCACTGGGGGCGGGGGCTGCGTTGCCATTGACTTGCACCGCCCCCTCCCGCCCCAAAACAAAGTGAGCTGGACGGGTTGCGTTCCAGAGGCCGAACGCTCTGGAACGCACTCTTTATGGTCTGACTGGGCCTTCATGACAGGATGCTGTTACACTGGTTAATGCTAATCAGATTGTATACATGCATACAGATATGTATATACATGCCTGGGCGAAGACTGCACACATACGTTCAGAACAACTTTCACAAGCATACAATTCCCAGCTGTCTTTGTTACGTACAGATGGCTGTATATAACACCTGTGATTTGGAGGCACAGAAATATGCTGGGGCTTTTTTCTTAATCGTGTACAGCCCTCTACACACTGTGCACAAGCTCTTATCATTACAAAATAAATAAATCAAGCTCTACAAATGATTGTGCTACTTTGTGGCTTATATTTGTACCATGTATGAAATATGCTAAAGACAAAATACACACACAGTCATTGACTCATTACCTGTTGCTCCATATTCCATAGAAGAGTTCCACAAATGCAAAGGATAAATTCAAGCAGAGAAAACAGAATAAGTTTCTTGATGTAGAATCTGAGAAGATTGACCTGCAACATTAAAACCGTAAAAAAAATTAAAGACACAGAAGCAGCAGCAACATATCATTTCACAACCAACTCGTCGATAATGAGAATAGTTGTCAACTATTCATTCCCATTATCGATTAGTTGGTTGGATCTCCTAGCCCTCTCCTCCACGCTGGGAGGAGGGTACAGCAAGCAGTGGGCAGGTGAAATAGCCAGCCTGCTATTGGCTATTGCAATTTGAAATGGCTAATAGCAGGCTGGCTATTGTACCAGCCTGCTACCTGCTGTATTTACATTCAGCTGCCGTCTGTGGAATCTTGCCACTGGCAGCTGTCATTCTCTGGATGAAGCTATTCAAGCACCATGTACTTCCAGTACAGTACAAATATTAAAAAATAAATGATAAAAAAGGTGGGGGAAAAAAAAGGAAATTAATTTTCGGTTTCAACCTGACAAATTCTGCTGTGGGTAGTGCGTTGCAGTGCCATTCATTTCAATGGCACCCCAAACGTGCCTCCCACAGTGTGATCACCCGCACTGGAACGCACGATACTGCAATGCCATGCGTTCCAGTGCAGTTGCAAAATAATTGTGCATGCAGTTTTATTCTGAAGTAAACTTTAGGTGTGTAACACTGCATTTGTGTATTTTATTTTAAATGAAGGATGGTATTTTGTTTTTATCCGATTAATTGAAAATAAAATCGGTCAACTAATCAATTATTACAATAATCATTAGTTGCAGCCCTACAGCCAACTACTTCAAAAACGACACCATTTCCATGTAAAACCAGTGTTGACTAATAGAACTTTCCTCTGACACATGCAGGGTAGCAAAACCTGAAAGATGAGTCAGTGTAAATGAAGGATTATTTCCGGCTTATGTGGCCAGAAAGGAATGCGTGATACGTATACACTATGCATCCCTCTACATATAGTTTTTGACTTTTCAAAAAAGGAACAAAAAACATTGTGTCTGGATGGAATGCTGCAATAATCAGAGTATGAGTAGGGGATGGTTAGAGCCCCTGCCAGGTTTCTTGTTGGCCATCTGAATTCAATTTAGGTGATTTACCGTTGTTTCCTGTCCCATAAGCCAAACAGGAAGTGGAAGAAAATCAAAGTGAAGCTGTTATGAGAACAAATGTTTTCACTGGAAGGTTTGCCCTCTCTACTTGTTCTGTTCTGGCAATTTCTCTCTTTAGCCCATAGATCTCTCTCTGTAGATCTTCTGGGTGACATGTTATGCTATGAAGACAAGAAACCCGATTTCTGGATCAGTACATTAGAAACAGATTTTTCAATTTTGATAGCTGGGCGAGAGTTAAGTGACCTCAGTTTCCTCATCTTTCCCTGGATATTGGAGATGTATATTTGAGGACCTGGATTGGCACACTTCCTGTAACCATTGAGGCGTTTCCACTCTCCCATGTTGGCATTTTTACTTAAAGCGTATGTTAGTACTAAATTTAACATTGCAGATGTGTCTTTCTATGTGTGTATCATGCTGTAGTTTTATTTCTTCTTTTGGGCAGACATACCTGGCGATCCTGCCAGTCCCTCTTCTTTGCTTTTGAAATCTGACCACATCAAGCATGGCAGCAGATCCATACTGGCATGGTCAGTTTGTGTACCACTGTTTCCCTGAAGTTACAGGGCGCCATACCTGTATCTCTGTAGTCAGTTTTCCTCATATGCTACTTCACCAATCCCAGCCTGCCTTTCCCCGACACACTCGTGGCCAATCCCAGCCTGCCTTTCCCCGACACACTCGTGGCCAATCCCAGACTGCCTTTCCAAGACACACTCGTGGCCAATCTCAGCCTGCCTTTCCCCGACACACTCGTGGCCAATCTCAGCCTGCCTTTCCCCGACACACTCGTGGCCAATGCCAACCTGCCTTTCCCCGACTCACCCCTGGCCAATCCCAGCCTGCCTTTCCTGACACACCCCTGGCATATCCCAGCCTGCTTTTCCCTACACACCCCTGGCAAATCTAAGCCTGCCTTTTTTGGACACACCCCTGGCCAATCCCAGCCTGCCTTTGCCGACAGTCCTGACCAATCCCAGCCCACCTTTCTTGACATGCCCTTGGACACCAATTAAAGCCTGCCTTTTCAACACGGCCTCTACCATCCCAAACCAAGTATCCTGCCTTAACCTTTTCCAAAATGCCCCCTGCCAATCACAGCTTGTAGGAGCGTGGACCGAAGACAATATAAAAGACAGGGAAAGTACTTCCTCTCCTGTGTGTAAGGTCACAAACAGCCCACCAGCTTACTAGAATGACACACACACACACAATGTGGAATAATAACCTATGGAATGCTGTGCCGTCATTTGACCGCCAAATAAAACAAAAATGTTTATTTAGGTCTAATTATGGGACATAACCCATATTTCATGTATTACAACCTCCTTTAATTGCAGTGCATACACAAACTTTAAATTGGATGAAGAATATAAAGAGAGACACTGGAACATGCCAAAGTGGCTGTAAACACCCAAACTCCCAGGACAACATTAAGGCTTATAACAGGGAGATCTCACGGAGTGCCTGACAGCTATAAGAGATTGTCTAACCCATCTAACCAGACTCCACCCATCAATAAAACACCACCATTGGGTGGACGGATGATTTGACTACCTTTGCACGGCACCTTGACATTGTATGTGTCATTGCAGCAGAACTCCAGGAAAAAAATCTATTATAAAACATAGGTTGGGTCTGTGTAATTACCTGTAATGATTCATATGTAATGTCCAGAGGGATGCAGGAGATGCTCAAATTTTCAATTCAATTGAAAAGTCGAATTTTGTGGAATGAGGGCGACCCAAGGGGGTCACACACTGGTCAAATCTCGGCTGAGTCAGCAAGACATAATTCGACCAGTGTATGCCTGCTTAACACTTCCATGTATTACCTCTGACAGAGATCAAAATACTCCCCCTGACAAGGACGGAGCCATCTTTGTTCAGACATCATCCAGAGTATATCCTTCCTGGACAGAATATGTGGCTCGGAGATGACACGATCATGTAAATCCTGTTGCCCGAGCATCTCTTGGCCATTATTTATTTACTAATGCAGATTTATATGGTTACTGTAAGGTCGACTTTAAAGCCCATGTCTGGACCAGATCTGAAGCAGATCTGCAAACGCAGTTTTCTTCAGCTTAAAATGGGCTTCAGGTGCAGTCCAGGGCATTTAAATGCATTTTTGGAGTGGTTACATATATTTTTGTGCGTTCCGGACCAGAAACAAATAGTGCATGCAGCATTTCTTTTTCCCGCTCCGGAAGGGACCTCACTGGTGTGAACAGAGCTAAGAAATACCATAGGAATACATTGGGATGAATTTCAGGTGTGGACAAAAACTATCCTGGTCTGGGCAGGTACATACCATTTTCCGGACCAGATCTGAAATGCAGTGCATTGCGTTTTTACTGTGAATTTGCTGCGTTCTAGATTTTTTTTTAAGCTTAAAATGGTCTTACAGGTGCATTCCAGTGCGTTCTTGATGCGTTTATATGCATTCCAGACCAGACAAAATAAGACAAGCAGTATTTTCCTGGTCTGGAACAGAGGCCAGAAACAGCATAGGGGTGCATTAAGATGCATTTTGGGTCCGGAAACAATCTGGTCTGGAGATGATCTGGATGTGGTGTGAATGGGCCCTTAAGCCTGATACACAATTTCCTTCCACTGGGGTCCTCGCTGTCATACAAGCTTACTTCTAAGTCCTGAAAATCATTTTATTTTAAAATGACACTAAACTCAGGAGTTAAATCTTAAAAATACATTAGGTACCTAAACCAAAAATGTATCTTATTTGTGTATCACTCGGCTGTAGATCCTTAAATCATCTCTGAATTCATGCTTACACTGTTCTTCCTTCTGGAGGGTGGCTACTTTTGTTCCCCATGGTCCCTGTGTGTGTTGTAAAGCAGACACTGCTCCAAGCTCACTCCTGTGATGGACTACAATCTTGATACGAACTATTAAACTAAACATGAGATTGTACCATCATCTGTGTGGGCAACCCAACATGTTAGTCGCCCATCATCCAATTCATTATTAGAGAAATGTGACAACAGTGGCGTCATCCATGGACAATCAATCGCTGTGGTGTCACCCACGGGCAATCGCTGCTAAACACTTGTCACCTCTCATACCATAAGGCTAAGAGAGAAGTCAACTACAGGATGAGGACATTTTTAACCTATAATCTACTGTGCCCCTAAAGAAGTGGCCTATACAGACCCGTTCATGGGTATGGACTCTATAGCCATCAGATGACCCGATACACGTGCAGTAGGTGCAGATCCATGACACGAAGGGTCACATACAACTGACCATAAAATCTCTGTACAATCAACTTCAGATCTACCAAATCTATGAAAGAGGAGGAGCTACCTAAACCAATTAATTTGTATCCAACCTTGCACTACAAAGTTGTTGGTAGATCTTTAGGAGATTGTACAATCAGATTGTAACATGTGTGATGAGATGAAGTGTAGCTCCGATCCCAGGACATACAGCACGACATATAGTGCCACGTGTACACTTACCTGATCCAGCCCGACACTTTCCGGACCAGGTTGAATTTAGGTGGCTTATATTCATCATCCTTTATAGACAATGGCAACATCCTGGCAGCCGCTTCTGGGGACAGCCGAGTGCTGGAACACCCGATCACCAGATATACCCTTTATATATCCGACCTTCGCCGCCCCTTCCCTTCGTGCCCGGCTCTCCACCGGTATCCTGATGGCTCCGATCCCTCAGAACCCGTGCCGAGCCCCGGGAGCCGCTTCCTCCTTCCGGGAAGTTGCGGGTGGCTTGACACGCAAGCACTTAGCAACCAATAAGATCAGAGAACAACGCGCCGACTTCCTGGCACAGCCACTGGGACAGCACAGCGCTGACTGAGCTTTACTGGTAGGAGGGGGGAGATGAAGTGCCAGCAACAATGATGGCCGCAGCGTGTTCTGCTACATTACGTCACTGCGTACAAGAGAATTCAATGGCTGTACACTGGCACTAGGAGTGCCAGCATCAAACATGGCGTCGTCGTGCTCTACGTCGTTACGTCACTCCGTACGGAAGAACTCAAGGAGGCAGCTGTGCATTGGGAGTAAGTGAACAAGCATGGTGACTTTATTATAACCGAGCCATAGATCCTGTATGGTTACAGGGCGGAAGCTTCACGGCCCTAATGGCATTATAAGCTCTGGCAGCCTATAATCATATAATGGGTTTATTATCACTTTAATGCCTTCAAAATCTCAGCTTCTAACTGATATGGCCACTGGACTTTGCACCCTTGTGTATCCAGTCCCATAGAATTACAGTATACAATTGTAATGGGTAAGGCATGAGAAGCTACGCACCTCATTCAAACCTGCAAAGAGGTAAATGCAAAATGTGCCAGATCACCGACATAAACCTCACGACTCATTGTATTATAATGTATTGTGTTCCTATTTATGATAAATAGGGTAGGACTTGCAAAGTCTTCGGATTCTTCTGCAGTTTATGTCTTTCATTACGCTTTTTTCACCCTGTCCCCCAACCGCTGGGCTTGATTTCCACATTCTAAAGATTGGTAAGCTGCAAAATATGCATTTTGTTCTTGGGTTTAGATATAATTTATGTTAGCCTTACACTCTTCGATTTTTCATGGCGCTAAGCCATAGAAATCACTCAGTTCCCCCATCCACACAACAGCATGGATGGGGGAATCTCCCCTGCTGGCTATTGTATTCAGACAGCCACATACACACAGCTTTCTTATGCCTGAGCAATGACTGGATCTGATTGGATGCAGCTGCTGTTCAGCCAACTATTTTCCACCCGGCACCTATTTTTCGGTCAAGGTTTGTGAGGCCGGGTGATCCTGGCAGGGCCACCCATGGCGTGAACTTCGGCCAGTTCAGCAGGAATCTGCAGAAATTCGTGCTGTGTAGGGCTAGACTTTAGGGATGCACCGATACTAATATTGGTGCTGATCCCGAGTATTTGGGCGAGTACACGTACTCGCCCAAGTGCTCTGATGGCTAGCCCGATACCTGAGCTTCTGGTATCGGGAAGCCGGGCAGCGAGTCATTAAACGCTGTCCGGCTTCCTAATTGGCTGTCTCCATGCTCCCTCGTCACTTGGGAAGCCGGGCAACGTGTAATGACTCGCCGCCTAGATTCATGATTGGTCAGGAAGCTGGCCAATCACAAAGCCGGATGACAAGTCATTACCCGCGCCCGAGAATCCGACTCCATGCTCTGTTGTCACCAGCTGACAAGGGAGCATGAAGCTGGCTTTCTTGCCAATCAGACACATTGTTGCCTCTGGCATCGCCTTCACTTATTTAAAGAAACAATTCAAGATTAATATAAATATAGATCACTGAATGCTATCTTTTTTTTGTTTCAGCTTTTTTGAAAAAACTGTCACAGATTATTCACTGTAATCTTTTTGAGACGTTTTTTCTGATACTGTGTTATATATTTCCAATGAAGTCGTAATGCCGTATTATATTCACTAACCAAAGCTGATTTTATCCATCTACTATCATCTATTATTACTTAATCTTAATCGAAGCTGATTTTATCTATTTATTATTATTCAATTTTACTATTTATTCTTTGTCATCTAAGTTCATCACGATTATTCACTTACGTTTGAATGTCATTTATATCTATTAGCCATAGGCTACACTTTATGTTGTTCACATAGTGATACAAACCATCTTTTTCGTTTACTTTTTATGACTGTTTCGAATACACATAATTTATACATTGATATCCACTGATCACTCAACCCAATCTGTGAATATTTACACATATTTTGTTGACTTTATCTCTAGCGCTGTGTTCCAAGTACTCTATCTATCTAAAGGCGGTTCACCTCCTTTATTTTCATAGCTGCTTTTTGATACAAGTACAATTTAGCCATATCCAGGAGCGCAGATTTATTTTTCCTACACACTTTTGCTATGCCCGGAGGTATGGCCAGCTTGTTTGACTTTCTCATTATAAGAAGGATGTTTGTATTTCATTTCAAATACTTTGCTGAATGGGATATTATGTTGCTAATCCTCCCTTCTTTTTCATACAATGTTTTCTGTATTTTTATTGTTTTGTTGTGTTTTATTCTGAATATTGTACTTTTTCTGTATGTACCTTCTTTATGCTCAATAAAAATGTAAGTGGAGGAAAAAAATGCCTGTCAGTAGCAGCAGCAGACGAAGAGCGCTGTATGTAGTATCCAGAATGAATGAAGCTAGGATTGTTACTGTAAACAGCTTCAGTTCACACCAACCATAATCATCATTAGAGGTACCTTATATGAATTAGGGTGCTTAATAAAAAAAAGTCCTGGAGTTCTTCTTTAAAGTAACTTATGTTATAAGTGTTTCACATTTTGACATGCTTGTGCTTCCATTTGGTTTTCGTGAATGTAAATTACAGATTTACATTTGTTTGGAATTTTCAGGTCTAAATTTAGCAGGTGCTCATCATTCTGTCACTCAGCTTTCTCTTCCTATCAGCTTCTTGTCCGTAAATGAACTGATTGTACTATTCCTTCTCTCATAGTCGAGCCCTGTTGTACAGTTTTAGATTGCTCCCTTAAGTGCTGGCCCAACTTCCGGTTCTAGGGTGGCTTCACTCCCTAGCAGGGTGCTTTGGAGCCAAGCTTTCATGCGTGAACTGCAGGGGGACATGGTGATGCTGCCTGCAACTACACACGCAGGCAGCCTGAGACCTCTACAGAAAAAAAACCTGGGACATGCATGCGTGCTGGCAAGGTTGCAATGCATGGTGGGACTTGTAGCCCCACTGAATGAAATAGCATATGGCATATGACATAGTGATGTCACGTGTGCACTCTCCCCGCCAGGAAGTGCGTGAAAACGGCGCACAGAAAACAGGATGATGGGTATAAAAAATAAAGAAAGAAAGCAGTTTTGAATGACTAGGAAGGAACGTTCGTTAGGCTTTACTAGTGATTAAATGTATGGGAGGAATGTGTAGTCAACATTCCTCCCAATCCCTTCCCGCCACTGACGCCACAGCACAGCAGAGTATCGGGGGCACTGTATGGCTTTTTCTTTCTTGTGAATACTGGACAAGGGAGAGCATAGAGTTTCAGCTGTAGCGAAATAACCTTCAGTTGATCCTCCATTGATATCCTGGATTGATTAACGGCATCGTTCTACCTGCCTCCCTCAGGGATAACGTGTGTGCCACATATTTTTTGTTTTTGCATTTATGGCTCCCACTGACGCCACTGCATTTTTATTTTCAAAGTCTTTTATTCATTTTTCCACATTTAAACAAACAGGTATACATTTGCAACTGGATGCTTTGTACAAACATTTTAGTGTCTCCAGACCACAAAAATCCCCACATACTTCATTCTATTTTTAGCATGACATCCTTTTATATAGAGAGTACTGTCTACCACCCTGTATTTTGTAAACAATGAAACTGTCATGGATACTTTACTGGTAGGACCACGTCCTTCTATTTCAGTAGGGGATACATCTCTTTTTCGAATTACATCTGTGCCACTGCATTTTTAAAAATCTTTCTGATCATTCAGGCATTTATTATTCCAATCGACCACTGACATAGGGGCATTTTTTTTACTTCCTCTGGCCACAGTCTGGACCCCATTCGGTCCTACTTGCAGTGAATTGGCCCATTATGTAAAATATTTAGGTACCACTGATCCAAATGTAATGAAAAATTAATTTCTAACATTAAATTAAAAAAACCCTCTGAACTAAACCACAAGAGGGCGCTCCGTGTTTTCTAATCAGTGTGTATTGCTTTAGTTTGACAGTTAACTGATATTTTCTGCAGCATTGTTTTATTGCCAGCTTGGATTGTTTATTCCTCAGTGAAAGTCTTGGATTATACCTTCCTCTCTAAAGTAGTAGCCAGACGCCTTCTATTGTTTTTAGTCTTGAGTGAAAGTACTGCACTAATTACAGATTACGGATGTGATTAAAGTGAAGCTATCAGTAATTGTCAGTCTGCATAAATGAATTGATGTCACAATATATAGTGACGGTATAAATAAAATTAAATCTAATTGGTACCTTTTTTTTTTTTTTTTATCATTCAAAACCAATTGTTAAGCAGGTGTTCTCAACCTGCGGGTCGCAACCCAAAAGTGGGTCGCAACCCACAGTTGAGGGGGTCCCCACGTGCCTTGTGCTGCTCTAGGTAAGAGGCTCCTCAGCCTCCACCTAGCGTAGCAGTTCTCCTAGATGACGCTGCAGCAGCAGTGGCCAGAGAGGACCAGAGAGAGGGGAGCAGGCAGGAGTGAGGGGAGGTGAGTGCTTGATCACCACAGAGCCCGCAACTGGGCACCACAGAGCCCGCACTGGACGCCACCAGAAAAGTCCCACTAGCCACCTGAGAGCCCGCATAGCCTCCTGAGAGACCACACAGATACTAGTATTGGTGCATCCCTACATTTTACGGTTGGGGGTCACCACAACTTGCCAAATGTTACCAAGGGTTCCCGGCCCTAGAAAGGTTGAGAACCACTGCTGTAAAGTGACTGTGTCTAGGCCTGAGAGGAGCATTTTGATGTCATGAGTCTGTTGCAGACAGAAGAAAAAAAATAATCTCTTCTGCCAGAGTAATCCCTCACTTGGACTATAGTAACTATCTGGCAGGCGGGTGCAAAAGTAGGGGAATAATCTGTATAACAATATAAGAACACTGTAGTCACCAGGATTTACATAATTGTATCCTTTTAGTTGAGGATGTTAGAATGTAGATGCTGACTCTGGATAATACCTGAACATGGCATCTGCGTTCATGTTCTTAACAGGAAATGTATAG